CTGACAAGCAAAGTCAATGGGGAAGCCAGATTCACTTAACAACTGCAGTATTCATTTAACAAATGTGGCAACAAAACAATAAAATGGGATAAACTCAGTTAACAAATTTCTCACTTAGCAACATAAATCCTGGGCTCATTTGTGGTCATAAGTTGAGGACTACCTGAATATGTTCCTTGCCATGGAAATGTTCTTAGGATTCCATAAAGAATAAATTGAGTCAGCTTGGAAGAATACAACACACTTCTGTGATTAATACATTTCAAAACTGCTAGCCTATTTATTTAGGTGGTGGTGGTGTTGATGAAATTAACTGCAAAACTATTTCCTTTGCCCTGTTTTTTCCCAACGCTAAGCCATTTTTTCCCTTAGTTAATGTAATATCTTAAATAGAAACCTAAATCAGAAGTGAAGCACTTCAGGATGCCTAGACGTAACAATAAACTGGATTGACTGGTTATGCCTCCTATCTTGTTAAAGAAGCCAAATTCCCTTCCTGAAATGGATTGTTTTCAAAGCAGTAAAGGAATCCAGTCCATCTGGATGTAGTTCTGAATTACTAATCTACATATAGATTAATCCTAATCCTGTAACACATGAAGCATCTCCTGCTGACTGCCAGTACCACATTGGAACAATTATTAAACAACTAACAGTATAATAATCCTCTAGCAGCCTGAAAATATTATCCAAGACCCCAGCTCTTCAGCCCCCATTTAAACAAGGTAAACAACTTTTTGGTACTGTAATTCTGAGATAGGTTCCCATAAAATGGCTACAATTTTAACAAACCACTTTCTTTAAAAGGTAGCTTGTCCTTTAAATTGAACTGTCTGATGACGCTATTAACATGTCCAGATAAGTCTTCTTGTCAACAACCATAAGAAGTTGCCACTGTTTCTTCTGGGTATATCCATGCAAGGACTAAGTAGGACTGATGCTGTTTAATTTTCAAATCCAGATGAGATTGACTGGCTACTGCTTTTTTTTTTCTTTCTAAACTGAATGTTTTTCTGCTGCTGCTTTTAAACTCTCATTGCCCCAGAATGCTCCCTACCAGCTAATCTCAGCCTGTTTGTTTTTCTGGGGAGGTGATATTTCTAAACAAAGGTCTGGACTGCAGCCATGGCCATTTATACATCCTAAGACTCCTATGGCGCCTCTGTGGGATCTAGAGACATTCTTGGAAGTAAAGATAATAGTAGAGGCTATCATGTTGCTTTGAAGCATGCCAATTTCATCAGTATTTAATTTTAAACAATTACAATATGGTGGTTTTAACAAATTTTTACTTTAAATATTTTCTATTAAGACGATCAGTGGCTACATACCATAGATGCCCAAAGTATTAAAGTAGTTTTCTCTTTGCAATTCAATGGCAACAAACTAGATATATTAATTCCTTTCAAACATTTCCTATATATGTAATATATAAGTAAACTGGCTTATTTGCATTTAAAATTAATATTTTGCAGTTTGCAAATAAAAAATTGTCACTTCTGATTTTAATTAACCACAATCTCAGCTCTGGAAATTATGCACACTTCAAAATCCATGATTTCACATGGATTTCTCTGATACTGTTACTATCACTGAGCATGCCAACCTGATAGATGTTACCTTTACTTAAAATTAAAAGACTAGCCAAGTGCACAGAAGAAATAGAAGGGCAAACATCAGCTCAAAATGTATTAAGGCTTGTTTCTTTTTATTCACAGCTTGTGCTAAACCATTTAGCATGATTTGCAAATCAAATTTTTAGATAGGTCAATAGGCTTTTCAAATCAACTATGTACGTAGGTGTACATATGTAAACCTGCAATTAAAGTACATGTTGCCTCTGAGTTGTCAATATCATTAATATTTGGAATTGGGTCCTGCTTACTTTAGACAACATTTCTAGTTTGGATGGATTCAGATATTCTGATCTGGTAGTTTTTCAAAAACACTTGCTTGTGGAAAACAGCCAGACCACTCCCAGAATAATTGGATCAGCATGGTCTGGAAGAACAAAATATTCTAGAATTACTCGTAATATTGCCTCTCTAGAATGGATCCTTTTGCACCTATGTATTGATTACTACACCTGAATACATTCATCTTCTAAACAGAAAGTATCACTCTGCCACTATCATAAATCACAAAGCTAGAAGGGGGGGCGGGGGCAAGGCCTAGGCTAATTTTATGTTGCATAAAATACCTGTACTTCCCTGAACTCAGTTAAGGAGATTTAATTGTCTTTGAGATTTGATTGTACAAAGTGAGTCAGACCTCAAATTATATATTTAGGTTTCAAGAAATATAGAGCATTACAACTCCTTGACATCATCTGGATGATTAGTTCAAGGAATTTACTTTTGCCATATTGAACTCTGTACTACTCTTTTTTTGTTGATCTAGCATACAAATAATATGTATTATTAATATAGTCAATAATGTTATTTTAATATAGTAAAATACAATTTACTGACTTTCATAAATTTGCCAAATTCATTTTATCAGAGATTAGAGATTTTGAATTATTTGGAGCCAGACAACTTATAGACTAGTCCTCAACATATGATCATTTGTTCAGAGAACAATGGTTACAACTGGTCCTTGAAGTTCTGGTTATACCAACACCCCATGGTCATGTGATCACAATATGGGCACTTTGCAACTGGTTCACACTTTTCTTGCAGCGCCCTGTGATCACATGTTCACTACTTGCTTTTTAAATTGTAATTTTAATAAATATTATAACAACAATAAAAACTAATACAATAAAGAAGAAGAATGAGTAAAAGGTACAAAAAAGGGAAAAAAAGAAAAAGAAAAAAGTAGGAATATAGTAAAAAAAATAAATATATAAAGTAATAACTTCCCACCTTTATCACAAATATAAACAATTTTAGTAACATATCACCTCCTCTTAAAATATAACAAAATGATTTCTTCTTCCTATATCCCTTTATATAAATAAATCTAAAACACATCATCATAGTAGAAAGATTCTAGAATATTCTCTCCTATACACATGGCATCTCATACAGTGTATGGTGAATTTCATTTAAATGCTTTATTTAAGACATCCAAAATTATACATTTTTCTATAACTATAGTTACTCTTTTGACTTCAGTTCAATTAACTATTTGACTAAAAGGAAATGTAAGGTCCCAAAATACACTTGAGTCACCAGAATGCCAAAAAGAGAGACTCAAGACGAGGCTTGCAAAAAAAAACCAACAGATTTTATTTATGGCCAAAAACAAAATACTGGGTGGAACTATATCCAGAACATACAGATACAATGCATGCGAGGAAATAGCCACACCTTGGGGAAGGTATGGCGTCCTTTTATACCCTCAGAGACATCAGCTTAGTACCCAATTCTGGCCTCCTAATTTAGGTTTGTGTATTCCTTGTTGCCCTGCAAGGGGGAATAGAAACTTCCCAATTAGTCATCTTGAGCATTTCTTTGTTTACTCAATTGGCCACTTTGGCCCCCTGGCCCTGGAAAGCAGGAGTTTATCCAGATCAAACATAAATTAGGGCTGAGGTGTAAATTATCCCTTGGAGATACGTACCATGCTCTTAGATGGCACAAGAAAAAACAGGGAGAAGATTGATATGGGTTCAGGTCAAATGGCAGGGACATATGTTTGACAAATACCAGATACATTACAGAGGCCTAATAACAGAATATGTTTGTTACAGGAGACACAAATATAAAGGCATGATATATGTGATACAAATACAAAGACATATATGTATTACAGGAACCTAATGGTTACAGAATCTAGTATACCAGTATATCATATTCTAGTATTATTTATTATATCCTTATTATTGTTTCCCTTCAAATTGAAATGAAAAAACAAACTACAATCTAACATTTTATTTCTTGACATGATTTATGGTAGGATTTCAGTATCACTAGTTTTTATGAAAGATCAGTTTCTTTACCAAACCTATTATAAAGTAAGAATTCTAATAATCTATTAGAAATAACTGTTATTCAGCCAATCGTCTTTCCCAAACACATCTTTTAATGTACAATCTGTATACTTTGTTATAGAAATTTTTAATAGATTAACCAGGCAACATTACCATCTTTTTATCAACAATTTTATTTCCATTGTTTCTCTCCCATCCCCTGGGTACCCTAACAAGGAAACCTGTTTATACAGAATATACTGAAATGGAAATAACTTAATGTGAGGATTTCTCATAGCATGATATTCTCACAGATTTGAGTTAAGAGGGCTTGATGTCAGACATAGTTTTCATCTTGTTCCTTCCCACGTATGTAAGAAGTTGTAAACTAATGTATGAATATTTTTTATATTTGTGCATTGGAATGACAAGCTACCAAAATATAATGTTGTAATCAGCTCCATCATGCCTAACTGTTACCAACTAACAAGCTCCTTATGATCTACCAACAAAAACAAATCACTGCTTTGTAGGAAAAATTATTAATCTCCGACAGTTACCTTCTTGGCTTTTGTTATAAAAGGCTAAATGATGATAATGATAATTTAATAATGGCTTCTTTTATTGGTCAAAAACCTTGGAACAACAATATTTTGATATTCGTATAGATAATGGTACAAAATAAATGGATATGGCTACTTTAAGAAGAGTGATAAGAAAGCAACAATCAGTTGGCTATAGCAGCTAGTATTCAAGAAATCTATAGTTTGTCTCAAATACGATGATCCTCTTTGTTATATAGTGGATGGGATGTTAAGAGTTTTACAAACCACAAAAATGAAATATAAATCACAAAGTTGATTGTTTTTATGTATACAGAGTAAGTGAAATTAAGCTTGCGCACTAAGACTGCAGTTTGGTACCCCTTATCTAGAACAAATTTGATGCATTTTAAATTATGCTGAGGTCATTCTAAATAGAAGGACAAGGTTTTTATAATGCAGTGAAAAAAATTTGAAAATCCCCTTTACAGATGGAAGAATAAGCATTTATCTTATTTCTCTTTCCCCCCCATCATCTATAGAGTTGCCACTCCTTTTGGTGGTTTTGAAAAAGCATCAAAACTTATCAAGTACAAAGTTCCAGATTTTAATTTTCTGCTGCTAAATGATCCACGATTTATGCTCCTTGCTAACCCACTTTCTACCAGAAGATCATTCAACAGGACTCCTAAAGGTTGGATCACTGAGAATATTCCCATTATGATAACTATACAGCCTACAGAGGTCAATGGTGTTCCAGAAACAGATGATTTGTGAAAAGTAAGTGCATCACACATCAGATTCAGCCTGGCAGTGTTTTAATCTTTTAATACTCTCTACATCTGTTCCAACATCCTATTTTACGTTATACTGAAATGTAATATGATCTGATGATGCAGTTGTATTCTGAGATTAACTAATATTGCTATTGATTGCTAATACAAATAAAACTATGTGGCCAATGCATTCTCATTCAGCCTTTATATTCTACATATTAAATATAACGATTGATTCTCACTGGTCAATTTTTATATTAAGATATCAGATAATGATCAAAATTTCAGTGATATTACAAATGTATCTATCAATTTTAGTTTGTAGACTTGCTACTGAGATATAGTGGCAAATGTTTAGGCACTCTTGGTTAATGAAATCCTAACTGATCCAATCTGTACATGATATAAAATTAAACATGACATCATTTTGTGAATCTGAATGCATACTTACTATTTATGTGCAGATTTGAACTGACCAAAATAAAGAGTATATACACTTTTGTTAAGTAAGTATGCCACTAGCAATCTAGTAAAAAAAAATCCTTTCTGGAAACAATAGAATTTTTGCATATTGTATTTTCTAGAACATCATAATGAAATTGCAATTTAATAGAAGTCTTTCAGTTACAGGTTGTCCTTGACTTATGACCATTTCTTCTGCAGCTATTGGAAATTACAAGGGAGCTGAACAAAGGGACTTACAACTCCTACCTAGTTATGTCTACTGAAGTGCCCCACCCTGCGGTCATGTGAAAAAGAATTGAATGCTCTCCCCACCCACACTCCTGGTCCTCTTAGGCTTTGGGTCTGCTTCCCACCTTGCTGGATTCCCATAGGCCTTGGGTCCACTTCTGACTCTGCTTGGTCCTACACGCTCCTCTCCACCCTCATAATGACTCAGTTTCTTACCTTTTCTAAGATCTCCTGGAGGGAGCAGTCGATCTGCCATGTGCCCTTCCTATATGGAAGCCACATTGCATCATCTGGACAGCAGATGCCATCTGGAGAATGGCTACAATGAAGTGTGGCCATTCGGAAATGGTGCCCACTTCCAGAATGGCACATGAGGTCCCAGTGTTGTATAGGGGGGCTGATGGGCAATTGTGTTTGGGAAGGAGGGCTAGCTTTTTCCATATCAGTCTCCCTCTGCAGTCCCCAAGGCCTGTGGGTCTCAGCAGAGTGGGAAGCAGAGCACAAGGTGCCGCAGAAGTGTGGGAGGCCTTGGGAGGTGGGAGCAGGGCAGGCCATGTGTGAACTGGGAAGGTGCTGCAATGTAGGCCTGGAACTGCACTAGGACTCCCCCACTGAGGACCCCATGGTTCATTTGAGCCAGAATGGTTGTTTAACAACCACAATGGTGAGAGCAGGGCCTGAGATTGTTAAGTGAGGCAATCATGTGGGCACCTTGGTTAATAACTGTCACGATTCATGACTGTAATGGGCAGGCTCATTATGGTCATAATTTAAGGACTATCTGTATTAAACTGATTTTAAGTAGGTGTCTATATTTATGCACCTAATTTCAATTCTGAAAGTATATGTAAGACATGATGTCATGTATTGTTTAATAAGTTTTCAAATGTTATGATCACATGTTGCATGACTCTTGTGAATTTATGCACAGAGCTATATTTGCAGTTGTTCATGGCAGGGACCCATTATGTCTTGTATGGCTGTAGATTCACACAAGAAATATCCATTTGTTTATTTATAGGCAATCTCCTTCAAGAAACTAACCCCACTACAAAATGCATCAAATGTAAGATAGATGGAATTAAGCAAATTTTTCACAACCAGCTTTGCTCTGTTTTATTCATTTATCCACACAAATTAGTCACAAGGCTTTAATATGATAGAGATCATGTATTATAGTATATTGCAAATACTATTTTAAATGTATTTCTGGCATGAGCTTTGTTTCATAATCTGCTTATCTAAAGGCAATCTCCTTCTTGAACCTACCCACATTACAAACATGCCCTGAGAATCTCCTTTTAATGTCAAGTCTCTTGGACAACACCTTCATCTCATCCCCAGTCCATTGAGGCAAGCTTGAATCAACCTTAGATGTACTGGTATTAAAATATTGTTTTCTTCCTTATTCTGATACTATCAAAGGATAGCCTCAAGGCATATACATCTATTAACTTTACATTATCTTGGAAGAAAGTCAGGTGACTTGCAGTGATTTACAGAGGAGCAAGATAGATGTCAACAACCTAGGTGGAGAATGTCGTGCTGTGGCAGTTTTCTCCCAAATAAAGGATAGGTGGATAGTATTCAACAGCAGTGGGAAAAGGTTCCAAGGCAGACATCATGTGATACTAATGTAGGAAACAGAGCATGTCAAATGAGAACACTTTTAAAGGGAAAGAATATAACTGCTATATATTGGCCATATTTTAATATCTATGCTGTAAAACATGCAATCAACATAATAAAAAATTAAACTTAATCTACGAAGTAAAACTTCTCTGATTAGTCCTGAGAAATGCAGCAGGCTTCATTAAAAAAGTTTTTCATTTGGGGAATGAAAACATATCACACAGTGGGAAGAGAGAAACAGAATACTCAAGTTAGAACAACTTCCCCAATATCCATATATTCAATGGGAAGCTGCCCTACGGCTGCCTACTTTTGGCTCATTGTCATCTCATAACACCTGATTGCTGGGGCATCAACAGAGCTGCTCTACTGGTTTCCATCAATTCTTTTGATCCTTCTGTAGAGAACAAGTCACTCTGTTCCTTGTAGATCAAGCTATACAAGGTCTTTCAAATTTCTGTTTCCTTTTTGCTAACATAGTATTTCATATAAATCACTTTTTTTGTCTAGCACTTTGTCAGATATTCAGCCCTAAAGAAGTATTTTTGAGATTTTGAAGATTTCTTTTCCCACTCCACAAACACTCCATCTTGTTGGTTTGTTAAACTGTCAGTTATATGTTCAACACATTATTATGCTTTTTCAGCAAACCAGTGTGACTCTAGAAATAGATTTGTAGAATAAGCCATAATTGACTGGAATACATAGAACATTAGGCCACAAGTCCTTGATTACAAACCAATATGACTACAATTATACTTTGCACTAAGCCACAATCAAGTTTAATGTTATTGGCTTAGTGCAACATATGAATTCAGTTACAGGACACAGTGGGTGGGGAAGGGTGATTTCCAAGCAGCTTTTAAATGAGACTCACTTTGTAAAATACTGAAGATACAATTATGTGCATATTCATTAGACAGTAATTCTAATACAATATGTTCTAGCAGACTTACCCAAAATTCTTTATAAAAGATACCCTTAAATATATTATTTTTGCGGATGATAGATAGAAAATTTGAATATAAAACTGAAATTTAATAAACATTTTATGAGAAGGCAAGATATGTTTGATAATGAAGCCAAGTGATGAAAAAGTTAAATAAACTTTAAAAGTGTGATAAAATGACTAGAACACTATTTAAAAAATTATTTTCAATCTTGAATGCTTAATGTAATTTATATAGACAATCCAAATGCTTACCTCAGAATGAATCCTATTGATCTCAATGAGTGGAAACCTCATTGTTAAAGTTCACATGTCTATTTTTTTCAGACATATGTTCTGAAAATTGAAATATGTGTAATGAAAGGATCTTACTTTAATGAAAAGAGCCTCCTACATGACTGCAGAACAAATTGATGAGATATTTCCTATAACAAAATATTATATGTTCTGCATAATAACTAATAATACTTTTCAAAAGCATCTCTATATAATCTTCAATAGGTGGATAAAGAAGGCAGCTTCTTTATTTTGCTGTGTTTATAAAATGTTGTTCAATAATATTACCTGCAGTGTTGTACATTGAATAAATTTTCCATTGTATTATTTATAATTTCAATAATCGCATGCACATTTGTGCTTATGTCCCTCTTATTTCTATGTAATTATTTCTTCTACACATCTTTGGTGTTTGGTTATGAAAATATTTTCCCATTCCGCACATAAATTTATTTCATTCAAAGTTGCTAAAACTAAAGTCAGATATTGGAATTGACAAAAAGTTATGAGTATTCCTCCAAAATAATAAGTATTTCAAACTATGATATAAATATTTCCAGACTTTTCTTTATAAAAAATGCTTTTAAAATCTCAAATTGTATATAAACAGAAAGTTCATTTGATTGAATAGGAGACCTCTCTCTGCAGAAGATATTTTGAGATTCATTCTAAAACTAGCCATGACTAGATCACCTCCAGTGTGACATCCCCATTATAAATAAGAATGTTGTGCTATTTCTACATTAGACAATTGACTGAAATTGCCATGATTTGTTCCTTCACTATAAAGCTATATAAAATACCATACAATGGTAAATACCAAACTCTTAAGACCTTCCTATTCCAGCAAGCTGGCCTGGCCTAACCTTTTTCCCCTTTTCTTTTAAATTGAAAATTTTAAATCTGTTTTTAAATTATTGGGATGTTTTAAATTTGTCTCAGGCTAAATTGTTTAATCTGGTTTTATTTCTGCTTTTAAATTTTGTATTTATGTATTTTATTTTGTGCCTGTTCACCGCCCTGAGTCCTTTAGGAGTAGGGCGGTATATAAATCTAATAAAACAAACAAACAAACAATGCTATATAAAATACTATACAGACATATACACAGAGAAAGACACACTTAATCTTCTGTCATTTTAAATACGAAGGATATATAGCAGGAATTAAAAAAGAACACTATTCAGTATTCATCTATTATAATTTGTAATGGTTATCATTTATGTTCCAATATATTAACGTTTTGAATGTTTTAGTATGATCTCTCTCTCTCTCTTTAGATAGATAGATAGATAGATAGATAGATAGATAGATAGATAGATAG